TAAGTATCATAGGCTGTCTATGAAATTTTGAGCTATTCAGTCGTTTACCTATAAACGCAGACTATGCCTACTTTAGGAAGGTGTCATAGTTTTGAAGAAAATACTACAGACAAAATTCCTGCCTAAAAATTTTACCATTTTTTATGAAAGTCTTCGATTTTGCAATGAATACATGTTTTACAGTTAATACAGAGCCTTATGACTCGCAAAGTATGGATATGACTAGAAGGAGCTCGAGAAAGTTCGAATACTGCTCGAAAAAATGACAAGTCAACGGACTACAAGAATAAAGTAAACTCCTTTTCGTTAATCAGCAAAGGACTCAAGTAAACATAACCCATCGACTCCTCACACCCGTTACTTTTTGAAAACCACAGCCAACGGTGAACCCTGCGGTAATTGCGAAGAGATATTCTTCCTTTCCCATGTAAAAAAATACCCATTTTCAAAGTTTTTCTTCCACAGCTGCCATCTGGTTAAAACGATTTCACTACCGTTGCTCAATCAAAAAGCCCCCTATTACCTCTTCCGCAGTATAATGTCTTCTAACGCTCTTACCCCAACCCTAGTCAAACTAGCTACAAAGATAGAAGATGCCCAAGCAACTTTTAAAATTCACTACTGTGCTTTTCAAAAATCCCACTACTTCCAGTCTCCCTTCCCACCTTCCACAGCACTACTACAAACAACAGTTATTAAGTTTTTAGAACTCTCTCTCTCTGCTTCAAGCTCGCTTTAAGCTACTTTTTTCTTACTTATGATAACACTAATCGACAGTGACCAACACTCCGTTGCCGCAAGATTTCACAATAACGAAATTTTTTCCAAAGCAAAGAACTGTCCAATGCCGTTATTCCCCTCGCTTTCCCGCGCACGGTCCCTTCGGGCGCAGTTGTACACAAGTTGCTCATGACCTGCCAGCCTCAGCACTCATTTAAAGCCATGAATATTAGAGCATTTTGAATGCTGGCCATTATTTAAATCAATTTTAAGGCTGCTTTCAATATTGCAAAACTTGACCAATCTGTTTAAACTATGTATAAATGGGGCAAATTTACAGGTCTTTCTAGAATCATCAGTCTATGCAGCCCGAAAAGAGCAGAGAATGGAACAGTGTTACATCATTCCAGCACACAACGAAAATCACGGACAAAGAACCTTAAGTTTAAACTGTACGCTCAAAAGCGGCACTAATGCCCAACGGGAATGCTGCGTGTAAGGGTAGTATTTCGTCACGTCCCCATGAAAAATAAAAAAAGATGACACCTGGACCCCGACATGAATTTCTTATCCCTTCCATTGATAAAGAAACCTACGAAAACCAAGGCATACATGTGAACCTCTCACGAAAGGCTCGGCATAATACAGAGTAATTCAAGAACTACGAGACGGTTCGTCGCCGTAACTACACCAGTGTACGCGAAAACACAGACTAAAGCGCTCCAAGACAGCGAACAAAAAAACGTTCTAAAAGTATTCACCACATTAAAATTAGAAAAAAACTGGCATCACAGCACAAGGACATTAAAAAAAATAAAAAGAAAAATTTAATGCAAATTTCGAGCGCATTTATAAATGCAGCTTTGGTTCTGCTGGAAACACTGAAAACCTAGAATCGCTTACGGCAGAAGCGTTTCTGGCGAACATCCAGTGTGGTGATGTTTGCCGTTCGTCTGCTACGTGCTAAACTGCAACTGAATTCAATTTGAAAAAACTCAGATTCAGACGGTACTGTTGAAATACCGTATCCGGAACTTCCATATACAATTTTTGGATGTATGGACTAATTCTGGTGAAGCTTCAAACAAAGGTATCTTCTTCCTTTACTAACCCTATTCCAAAAAACACCACCCTTTTCTTTACACATTAAGCATGACCCAGTATCTTTAAAAATCCAAAGCGTAGTAACTGAGGCGCAGCTCACTATGGGAAAAATACCATGCGAAAGCGGCAGCTACAACACTACCGCACTGTCGAACTTCCAGGGCACATAATTACCCTCGAAAATCATAAGAGAAAACAACACGCATACTAACCGACAACTGCCGAAACGCCTAATGGACTGATACCATTAATGTTTCCAGCTTAATGAATGTTAAGCAGAACGCCTCTGTTTTGTAGGCGGAGTTTAAATGCCGTCTGTTTCTGCTCACTGAAGCTAATTTTTTTTTCTTTGTTCGTTGGACGTACATTGAGTATTGTCATTTTAAGGGCGTTTGTTTACAGATAGTTAACCATCAGCCAGCATTAGAATTTATTCATGACAGCCAGTTAGACGCTGTGTTGACAACAGAGAAAACAGGGAACCAAATTTAGTGGGAAAAACGAAAGCATATTCCGATTACAAGGGCACTAATGTTGAGGACTGAGAATCTAAAGTGCCTTAACAATCGAGGACTAGATAAATAACGTTTTCCTGGAATTCTCTTTTTTAGAAGGACCTAACCAAATGGTCGATCCACCAACTACGAAGTAATTGTTTGCACAAATGTGTTATTAGTTGCTCCCTCAAACGTCAACTTCGCCACGTTGTCGTCCTGCAAACCTGTTGCACGTTTCATGGCCATCGTCACCGACTTAAATGGTTGCAACCTCCTTTAACTGTAATGCGGCCACTTTATTTAGAATGACGCCGACTTTAAAATATATGGCGAGGCACGGCTATAAACTTGTAGAAGAATACATTATTTTTCCAGAAAATGAAACTTTTTGTAGAAGAGAAGATTTTTGTGACCTTCCCGCCTTTCCCGTTAGTGTTTCTCAAAGTGGTAAAACTTGACAGTTGGCTGTGAATGCCGTTGTCAGAGTCGTTATTTATTTGAGGTGACCTTGTTCGCACGGGAAAGTACGGTAAGTTGTCTACAGTGCCCTGTTTCCCCTCTGTATAGCTCTCGTTCACAAAAACCTACTGTATACTACGCACTATTTCCAGCCTTATTACCTACAATCTACTTGTTCTCCTTCTCATTCTTTATTCCGCGTCTCTGTTTAGCCTTAAAATACTGGTAACAAGTGATATACTCAAAAGAACAGTAAAACGAAAGGAAAACTTGACTATAACTAAAGTGAAAGCAAAAGAAGTAAAAAAACAAAGAAACATGAAATTGGAGAGACTAAGCTCGGAACCAAAATAAAAAGAAATTCGAAAGCAAAGTTTGAGGCTGCCAAATCGGGGCATGAACGGGAAAGGATTCTAGGAAATTGGTAGTAAAGAAGATTTTTCAGTAATGCTTCAATCTAAATGAACTGCCTAAGAGGCATTCTTATTTCTTTTATACTTTCACCGTTGATCACCTTGCTGTGTTGCTTTTGACCACACTTTCTATGTTTACACATTTAAATATTTGAGGCGTTAGTATACTTTTATGTTCTTGTAGGGATATTGGAAGTGTCACAGTGTAGTGTGGATTTCGCGGGCAGTTGCGATAATCAGAATCACGTTCGACGCTAAACTTTAAAAACAAATCAAATATCGCGCAGCTTTTCCTTCAAGGTCTTGTAAGGTGCAGTGCTTGAAAGGTGTCACCAAAGAAATTAACTGTTATTTTCAAATTGCTCTCATTTATTTCACTGGCTCATTTCGCTGCACTACCCGATTCAGCTACTGACCAACGGTTTATCAAAAGTCAACGCTCAAATCGTACCCATCTTTCAGTCATTCCTTTTTTACGCCCTTCTGTTTTTAGCTTTGCTTTAGTGAGCTGCTTCTAAAGATTCTTAGTATTTGAAATAATGTACCTGACATTTGGAACTGAAAAATTTGTTTCTTAAGTGGAACAGTACTTAGGAAAGTTCACTCACTGTAGCATTAACTTATACAACAATCTAAAAATCTACACCATAGAGTTACAAACTCTGAAAGATCTTCTAGAATTATCTTAAAAAGCTTGAAATTCTTCATACTGTCGCTTTTTCCAAGGCAAAAGTAATAAAACATCAGCCAAAGGTCTTAATTCTTCAAGATGGAAATTGTAGCTGCTTTAATCGTTTTTAAAACATCTTTGCTTTGGAGCGCAAGGGATACAGACAGTAATCAGTGGAGTTCTTTAGTAGTTTACCAAATAGTGTTTTCAATGCAAAGGTAGTAGGCAGCTGAACATAAATAGAACTGAAATTTGAAGGTGTATTCTTGAATTTTCTCAGAAATGAAAATCAATTTTGAGAGTAGTATAACGTTCACTTTACAAAGTATTACTCTTTAATCAAATTACATAAAACCTTTATTTAACTTTATTGCCATTATCACTTTTACATAGCATAAATTATGCTTATTTCTTGTGTCTTCTGTGGCTGTCTTCACCGTCTGAAAAACGAAGAGAACGATCTTTCATAGTTATTGTATTACTGCCTGCTTAATTAACAACGACTGTTTTACCGAAAAAAAAAAAACAGATCTACTTCCGGAAAAGTTAACAGTTTCATTGCCGGAGTGCTTGCAGTGATGGAAATTTTTGCAAGTCTTTCAAAAATTAAGTAAACAACACAGAAGAAGAATTCGTGAGGACGGTGGTGGCGTTTGTATGAAGTATTGACAGGAATATCTGTTTACTTTCTGAGAGTTTGAAAAGTGCAAACAAGGAAGCGAATCAACTGTTTTGAAAAGATTTCACCTAGATATCACACTACCAGTTAA